AGCTGTAGCTGCCGCCTGAGGTTTGCCGGCCGGGGGGGGGAGTAGCGATCAGGCGACTTATAGCTCGTGTCCCCGCAGAAAGGGCTCTGCGTGCTAGCTGTGGCACACATGCCATAGGTTTGTCATTGCTGCTATAGAGGAAGCAAGGCTAGGCACTTGCTTCTAGCCCCATTCATAGTGCCATGAGTTTAGAAAAAAGCTAATATATAGCCCTATGTAACAAAAGGACAGCAACAAAATACAGAATTTGTACAGAATCTTGTGGTGCCACAGGATGTTGTTATCTGCTATACATCATAGGCATCATAGGCATCCTTCAGTCTCGAGAGACTATGGTAACATGCTCTGTATGGAGGACTTGGAACAGCGTCTAGTGTTTTGACGCTGTATGCGAAGTTGGAGTGTCCTCCCCAGGGCACGAAGCCTGGGTAAAATAATATGGAGGATAGGCTGTTACCCAAGCAGCAAATCCCACCTCTCCACATCACTGAAATAGTCCAATGGAAAGGCAAGAGCCAATACAACTGGTTTCAGCGACGTTGCAGGAGTTGACAGAATGACATGAACTTCCTCTGGGACTCCTGCTCCAGATTTTGCCTAGAGGTTAACTCCTGAAGCCTTTTCCATAAGTGGATATAGCCACAAGGCAGTGGAGGTTTGAAATCAGAGTTTTCCTTCTTCTAGATGGGCTGCCTTCCAGGCTTTGGACCCAATAGTCCAAAGAATTTTAAAAATGGTGGTTCCCAAGCCAAGACAAGTGCTTTCTGTATACTTGTGTCCTTGTTTCCAGTTTGCTACCGGCAAGAAAATCAAGGCAGGCCTCCCATGTTTGGCCTGCCGGGTAACAATACCCTGACCAAACTCTGTCATCCCACTTTCTGATGCAGTTCATCACCTTTATAAATATCTGGTCCAGCAGAGACTTTTTGCCCCTCTCTGAGGTAGAACCATGTTGTCCTCAAGAGACAAGAATCTGGAAAGCAGCAGAGGCTCGCTGTCAGCATAACGAAAAAAGAGAGAGAGGAAAAGCCCCCAGAAGACGTTTCCTCGAGCAAGAGATCCAGGGCAGGGAAGTTCATTCTAACTTGCTGCTTACGTATGTTGCATTTGTGTCTCTCCACCAAAATCACCAACAGGGCTGGCAATTGATGACAACTCCAAAGAGGGAAAAGAGTCAGAGGCATAACACCATTACCACGTAAAGTATTCTAACAGTTTGGGAACTGAAATAGGTGGCAGGGAAGGCCAGGGAGTCCTCTGGAGGCGGAGGCAGCTTTCGGGGGGTGGGTGGGGTCAGACCGGGCCTACCAGAGAAGACCCAGGACCTTTCGTTGGATAAAACAACTGTGATCAGGAAACCAAGGATCATCAGATCCGAGAAAATGCACAGGAACACATCCTGCCTCATTAGTCGTGTTACCTTGGGAAACTGGCGACCATCACAATGGCTCACAACAGTGTTGGTAACTCCTAGGCGGCGCAGGTTTCCCTCAACACTGTGCAATCTCTCAGCATTGCTGTCATTAGCCAGGATCACTGCTATACAGTACTTGTTGTAACAGACTGCTGCAGTAGCCTGTTGGGAACATGTTATCTTGTCCTTTCAGCACATGAGAGATAGTCTTCAAGGTAGCTGATATTAGAGCTGTAAGAACAACAGGGAATAGTCAATTGTAGCAATTAAATAGGAATCGGAATTACATACAGTATATGCAATATGATAGTATCACCTTTCATTGACCGAACACTCTTGGAAGATTTTTTTCGTCACCATTAGATGCAGCTTTCGTGAGTGCTGTTTGCCTCGGATGGGAGAAACTTGGTTTTGCCACTTTTGGGTGTGGGGAATGTGTTGACAATGTTGGCATTTTCTTAGAAATTTGAACCATTAAAAATGAGCTATTTTTGCACAAATAACATGCATTTTTGCATGATCTCTTCAGGCTATGACCTCTTCTAATGCCTTTGGGCCTCCTGCTTCTTCCATTTTCTCCTTTTTGTGTCAAATGTGACCTGGAATTTAATCCTTTTCCCTGGCTTCGTGAAAGCCCCCGTTGGATGCTTAGGGATAGCATTGCAGCTGCCCTCCTGAATAGCTGCAAGGTGAGGGAGTGCCAAAGTTGTCCTGGAGTGTACCACATTTTGCAACAGTATGCAGGGAACGTCTTCTTCCCTGGGGCAGGATTGATAACAGGTTGGAGCCTGCCCAATGGATGCTGTTGTTTGCTACTTGCCCATGGTGAACACGAGGGGTTATCTTTCTGTTGGTCCTTAATTCCCTTTTCCTTTTTGATACATGCTGCACATGTTTTGAACTGTGCTCAATGGTTTGCTTGACTGGCACCCAGTCTAGAGCCTTAGACCCTAAGAATCTTTTTCTCTTCAGCTGACACTTTATTTCAAGCGTCACTTCAGGGAAGAGATGAAGAAGTAGCCTTTGACTGGCCTGGGTGTGTGTGTGTGCCTGAGGTCACTGAGAAGAGAAAGGACCGAGAAGATGGGCAGGGCAGCTGCAAGTGGGAAGCTGTTGAAAGCATGAAGGAAAGGGGGGTTGTTCTGGGGTCAAGGAGATGGGAACAGCTGCTCCTGCTATGCAAGCATCTTTATGGGGCAGCTGATGCCCAAGCCTTTTTGCGGCCATATTTTGCACTTCCATTTTAATCTGTTTCATTTCTGTTAGTGCATCTCTTGGATCATCCAGGGGACCCACCCCTCTGTCTTGGTTTTGAGATTACCTGGCCTTGCATAAGGCAGAATGCAGTGAGCAAAAACATTGCAGAACTTAATTCCCTGTGCGGGAAGCCCTTATTCTACTCAATTCCTTACAGATGGGTTATTGCTAAAATACTTTGATGACCAGTCTCTCCAGAAGAGACTGGTTCCATTCTGCCACAGATCCCACAAACCACTGTGGGCTTTGGACCTCCTGTGTGGTTTCAAGGATGTTACTCATTCAGTGAGGATGTCACTCATTCAGTGAGGATGTCACTCATTCAGCATATGGATGCGTCTGGGAGTATCCTTGGGCTATGATAGGCTTCATGGTGCTTCCTCTGCCTGAGCCCACTTTAGAGCCCTTTGGGTGCTGGGTCCCAAGCCTGAGAAGACAGATCCTCTGACTCAATCATTGGGTCATTGCGAACCTCCCTCATTTTTTCCAAGTTCTTCACTTAATAGGGGAATGTTGGAAGCAGAATGTGGCCCCTTAAAATATTAATGTGGCTCTTAACTTCTTGAATATCTTGAAGTGAGCTTCTCTTGTATAGCATGCTGTGGTGTGGAGGTTCTAATGGCTGATCTGGTGTCCCTGGTAGGCAAGTGGAACAGGGAGGGCAGAGTACCCTCTGTTTGAATTCTAGCTACATTTAGCTGTATTTCAACTCTGTCCTTTAAAAGCTGCCCAATGTGGAAAATGGCTCTCTGCTCCAGAGAACATGACTACTCTGGTCTAGAAAGGCTTATTTGTGAATCATGTGAATGGCAGCGAAGTAATAAAATAATACAGTACATATATTGACAAATAATATATTTAAGCCTTTTCCCTTCATGTTTAAGCCTGTGTGTGCATGCCTTCCTGCCTTTGCCCATAGCTGCAGCATTGGAAACTACAGGAGAAAGTCCCACATCAAGGGGTTTTTTTTGTTCTAATTTTTGATAGGTGGTTCTTGCAAATCCTAGGTTTTATCTGTTTGCACCAATATAGGAGCCGTGGGCTCACCTTATCCAAAGTCATCTCTGTGCTAACAAAATGTCCTTGTCAGGCTTGTAGCTGGAGTGATCTGTTATGCACACACACCAGAGTGCTGTTTTCTGTGACGTACTTTTGGCGTTCTCCTTTAAAAAAAAACAGGCTGGGAGTAGAGTCGGGAGGGGGGGGAGAGAGTGAGCAGGCTGTCAGGCAAATCTTTATGTAGCTCAGGCTGGGAAAGGAGGCGTGTGACTCCAGGAACGTGTCAGCAAGGCTGGCGGGGTCCAGGAGTTGCTTCCTGTGTGTGC